CAGTTGAGCAGGTTAAGGAAACAATGTATAGCCACTCTTCATCCAATGGATTTCCGCCGATGAAGTCTCACTCCATGAAAATTACAGGTTTTGTATATATAGTTATAGATTCATCATACATGTATATCTGAATTCTGATCTAGCATCAACATCATGTCATGCATTCTCTTGTTTGTTAATACATATGTGCAGAAAACGGTGGGAAAGCTGGAAGTGTAGATAGCCCTTCTCGTGATTTGTTTGTGTATCTCACAACTTGTAAGATTGGACATCATGTAGAAGTTTATCTAAAAAATGGATCGGTTTACAGTGGCATATTTCATGCTGCTGATGTGGAGAAGGGTTTTGGTGAGGCCATTTGAGGTGTGATAATATATAAGAAGAGGTCACTTTTTTTTTGGGGGCTTACGAACTGCTTTGAAACTTTCAGGAATTATTTTGAAAATGGCATGCTTGATTAGGGAAGGTAGTTCACAAGGAATGAAATTCCGTTCTCCGCTTTTCAGCAAGCCACCTTCAAAGATGCTCATTATCCCTGCCGACGAACTTGTGCAAGTTATAGCCAAGGTGTGTGCTTTTTTCTTGCCGATGAGATTGAGTTATTATGTTCATGTCGATGCGCTTGCATGCTAGAATGACGACTTGGTGTTTTTGACATTTTTATTCCTTTGTCATTTTGGTGTTAGGACCTTCCTGTATACAACAATAACGTCTCGAATTCTGTTCAGTCCGAGAAACCGTTAGAGCTGTTGACAGACTCTTCTATATCACAGTCTTATCATGTTGATTTGGAAAGAGAGCTGAAACCTTGGGTTCCTGATGATGATCTTCCAGACTGTTCAGATCTTGAAAATGTGTTTGATGACCCTTGGAAGAGGTAGTGATACATATTCTTTTAGTTATGATTTTTTTTTTTAACCAGAATTTCTCTTTTCTGATTTAGAAAATTGTTTAGTATTTGTATTGGGTCTCTTTCCATCTATGTTCTTGTGACTTTGATTCTCTTCTAATCTAGAGAGTTTTGGTTTTTCTTTTCTTTAGTGATTCTTAGTCTGGTTTGATATTTATCCAGTCTTATACATGATGATATCGTAGGGGCTGGAATCAGTTTGAGGTCAATAAGACATTGTTTGGAGTAACGAGCACCTTTGATGAGGAACTGTATACCACAAAACTCGAGAGAGGTCCTCGAACGAGGGAGCTAGAAGAGCATGCCTTGAGGATTGCAAGAGAGATTGAGGGTGAGAATACCCGAGATCTTCATGTAGCAGAGGTGAATTAGGGATGTCTTATGTGCCACTTGATTTGTTCGTTTCACTGTCGTTTCCATTCCCAATTCTTAGTGGTTCATGCATGCAATCTTCTTACACAGGAAAGAGGCCTTCAGCTTAGTGGGAAGTTTGATATTGACGAGGAAACCAAATACTCATCGGTCTGTCCGGTTAGTGGATATGATGATACGGGTTAT